CGCAAGTAGCCTAACGAACTCGCACGTAATCATACAGGAATTTTTATTGAGATTTAAACATTGTCGCCTGAAGATCGCATTGAGCGTGAAACTCAGAGTTGTGACTATATTTTAAGTTAAGAAATTAAATTATTTGCTCTACGTTATTAAATGGTATTGAGCACTCTTTCTACACTGTAAAATTTGATCATCTTTGGTCTCATTAATATTATATATATATATATATATATGTGTATATATGTATATATATATGTATGTATATATATATATATATATATATATATATATATATATATATATATATATATATATATATATATATATATATATATATATATATCTATCTATCTATGGGGGATGGTTTAGGATTTGCTTATCTAACTAGACTCATGTGGTGTGGGTTTAATGAGTTTCTTCGTTATGGGTGTATGTACATAAAAAAATATCGCAACATTTCAAGCAAAACATTGTGCCTATATTCTTAGGTATTAACATCCGTGACAAAAACATTCTTGATAGTTGCCAAATTGCTCAGCTCTGTAGTTGGTTTAGGGTGCCAAAACAAGATGGCCAACAGTATTTTATCCTTGGTTTTTGGTTAACCCATTTACTGGTATGTCCCTACCACTGAATAGTAAAGTCATCCGGTGACTGACAGAGCAAAACACTTCAGAAAGGTGCAATGAGGCACAATACCAGCTAAATACCTAGTAATGGGTTAACAAGAGACACTGGCAGATAGTTTTGCTAACCCATTTACTGGCAGTACCCTACCACTGTCAAATGAAATTTTCTGGCATTGGACAGAGCCAAATACTGAAGTAGGGTGCATTGCCAGCTAATGGGTTAAATAGGTTGGTTGGATAATTAGTTTACATTCCTGTATTATGTCACCCAGTGGGCTGCTGCAGGGCATGTCCCAGGGTGTGCCATTTGCAATTCAGAGTGGAGGTTGGGTATTTTAACATTTATTATGTACTATTTAAAATACGAGCAGGCTATTTTCAGTTGACCCACTGATATAAAAAAGTAATATAAAAAACATACTGCAGTATGGTTTCTTGACCATTGTTCTGGTTTAACAAAGTTGTCTAAGTGTCCCCTCACACTTGTAACATTATTTAATCAAAAAGTTTATTATATTTGTATCTTTTGTCATCTTGAAGCCATTTTCCATTCTTTGTAATTGTTATTTGAGGAATATACTTGTGTTCCCCAGCTCCCCATATAAATGTGTATTGCACTGTAGTTAATGCAATGTTTGTAATTTCATTGTTGTTTACTGCGGATTCAATTTTCTTTAGCTTTTTCCCTGGAACATATCCAATAGATTTGGATTGGAACATATCCAATAGATTCCATTTACTTTTGCCTTAGCAACAATTGCATTCTCATCGTTGACATTCACAGGTTCGTTGCACAATTTGAGCTCAACTGGAATATTTTCTAAAAGCATCTGTTTGCAGCTTCGAAGTACCCTCTGAAAATCTTTGTGGAAACTACTCCCCTTTAAGGTAAAAGTCTCAGAATATGAAACCTCTGATTCCGGATAACAATCAGTCGAGTTTGCCTCAGAAGCAGATATGTTATTTGCTGACAGAATTGCTGTTGCACTTGTATCTTCGGCCATGTTGGCTGCCTCCATGGCCTCGGCTTCGTTGCTTACATCGCAAGCATTTCGTTTACCTTCTTCCAGCAAAACATCAGAAAGTTCGGGAAACGATGTACAGTTGCACTTGCACGAATCCAACTTCAGAAAGGGCATGGAGACTATATCGTCTTCCTCGCTCGAAGGCATTCTAGGAGGCAATACTTGCGCGGCAATTGAATTATTGACCATTACATCAAATGTAAATACAAGCATAATTGTCGAGCCTTCATCTGGTCCTTCGTTTTCAATCTTTAAAAAGAATAAGCATTATTTATGAAATTTGAATGTAGAAGAAGAAATTGAGGTAAATAATACACTTACTGTGTGAACGCAGCTTGACTTTATTTCTATAATGGCTGGTGAATGTTGTTCGCGCAATTTCGAAACGTTCTCTTCGCTGTGTAAGAACAAAACAGCAAGGCGTTCGCTTAATTTCTCAGGAAAACTAACGTGTGCCATGACCATGTAAAGTTCTATACATGGGACAGATTTTAAATGAAGAATTCTCTCAACTTCAAGGTCTAAACAATGAACATATAGGCACTGATTAGCTGTAAACACATCCGCCATATGTTCTCTTACGTCCATGACAGACGCCGCGCAAATAAAATTTGCATTTCCGTTCGTCGATAATATGTTTCAAACTGTTGCATTATGGGATAGCTAAATAATCCTCCTTTGGGGGACACATTCACCAACTCTAGCATATCTGGCATTAGAGATATGGAACTTCTGCATATCTCGGCAGATATGGATTACAGCGAGACATGTTCTTGGGGTGACGAACACCGAAGCAGATTTTGCATCGAGGAACTTCAACAACAGAACGGAATGGACTCTGAACAAGAGAGTATTCCAAATGATAACCAGGAGGTTCTACACGCCAGAGGTGGATCTATTTGCATCTCGAATCAACAACCAACTACCACGCTATGTGGCAAGATACCCAGACCCAGGGTCAGTAGCAACAGATGCTTTTCTTTAGCACTGGGGACACTGGACGGTGTTCATACACGCTCCAATAGTGCTCTTGCCACGGATTTTGCAGAAATTACGACAGGACCAAACAACGGGACTGGTGATAGCCCCAACCTGGCCAGGACAGCCATGGTTCCCAGCCCTCCTGGAGCTACTAGTGTATTTTCCAGCTAAGTTACCGATAGTGGAGGAAACAATCTTCTTACCGTTCGAACAACAAGCAATACATCCAATGTGGAAAACTCTCCGACTAGCTGTATGGCCGCTGTCAGGTCTCGTCTGCAAACAACAGGCCTTTCACCAGAGGTGTGCAAAATTTTGTTGGCCTCCTGGCGAACAAGCACTCAGAAGAGATACGAAGGACCCTGGCAACAGTGGGCTAGCTGGTGTCTGGAAAGGAATAAATGTCCCTTTTCAGCTCCTGTAGCAGATGTTTTAGATTTTCTATCTGAACAATTTAACAACCGTAATCTCGCTTACAGAACAGTGGGTGTATACAAAGAATGTATCTCACAGAAGCATGATCCAATTGATGGCTTGCAGCTTGGTAGCCTACCCCTGGTATCACGCTTCATGAAAGGTATCTTCCAACTACGACCCGCAACTCCTCGAATTTGCACGACTTGGTAAGTGGATCCTGTACTGCGATATTTGTCGTCCCTAGAACCTGTAGAACAACTTTCCTTGAATTCCTGAAAGTTCTGAGTTTGAAGCTAACCACCCTACTGGCATTGACCTCAGCTGCAAGGGCTCATGAAATTGCGGCCCTTCACCTCGATCATCTTTCAAAGAAAGTTGACAGTTGTGAGTTCATTATTCACACTCACGTAAAAAATTCGAGGCCAAATCGATATCATCCTCCTCGGAAGATATTCCTGGGACGTTATCAACAAGATTGCTCCATTTGTGTTGTGAGGTGTTTGGAACATTATCTCCAACGAAACCAGTAACCACAGACGGTACAAGGAACTTTTACTGTCCTATGTCAATCTATACAAACCTGTAGGAAGTCAAACCATATCAAGATGGCTATGCACATTGATTCGGTTAGCTGGAGTGGATGTCTGCTACACAGGACATTCTACCAGAGCTGCATCAACTTCGGAAGCGTTCGACAACGGAGTGCCTCTAGAAGTCGTTTTGGAGGCTGCCGACTGGTCCTCAGCACAAACATTTGAGAAACATTGCCACAAAAGAGCTGATAAAGCTCAATTTGCTCACAAGGTACTTGGGGCTGTTAACAATTAAGGTACTTGTTATGGACAATCAAGGTATTATATAAAACTTGTATTCTTACAGTGGTAGCATGCACTGTGATTTATATTGTTGGGTTAAAAATAACTGTTTACTTTTGAGTGCTTCAATAGTGATGACAACATGATTTACATAGCTATCTTTGTATATCTGCACCAGTATTGCGAGTATCAGTCGGAGAAGGTACGAAGGAGAAATAAAATTTCCCCGTAGGGTAAAGTACTTACCTGAAGGGGAGATGTAGTTCTCCGAGGACCTTCGGAGACTGATAGGAGCAATACTGGTCCCCTACTATGGTGGATTGCCAAATCCACCCCTCCCAGCTATGTAAGATCATACAAACCTCAGCAGTCAACTCAATAAGAGGATGGTTAGTGCGCATGTCAAAACATTTGTGGTTTCCAGACCTCTGCTGGCCGCGGATCTGCACCAGTATTGCTCCTGTCAGTCTCCGAAGGTCCTCGGAGGTTCAGGTAAGTACCTTACCCCCCGGGGAAATTTTATTTCTACGCCCTCTCTCCTTTCGCCCTGTGTCAAACACTGTGGTCAAATATAGAAAAAAATGATTAAACTGTAGCCGTAACCTGCAAGACTACGGGCGAAAAAGAAAAAAGCAGTGAAGCACTAGCTTGTTTAAAGAGTACTCGTACCCATAATGTCGGGGAAGGGGGGGGGGTACTGAGGTCCATCACCCACTATACCGTATATATACACGAACTTGTGGTTCGAGCTCTACAATTGTTCGATTAGAACGCTTCACCGAAATGGCAGGTTCGATTCCTGCCAGAGGGCATATAGTTGATTTTTCGCAGGTGCTCCTGATTAGGTCTGAAAATCTAGATAATTTTTCCCTCAAATTTTCCATGTACAAAACACTCTTGATCCGATAGTCCTGTCAGCCGGCGAATGATATCTAACGCTGTATTACGTAATCATAGAATTGTGTAAAAAATAACGTCATGTCGCATGCTGCTTTTGATTTGAAAATTAAAAGTTCAGGTATAAATATATTCCGCCATTCTTATTTTCTGCCATTAATCTAAACTGGTATAATAATAATCTCACGTGTGTGATTACTTATGACAGTTGCATGATTACATGTGGCGATTATCGCTAAATCGGCATTAAGGTCGAGACATACCGTACGCGATTGGACAACGGGGGCAATTTTTCAGTTTTTGAAAGTGATTATTGTGAAAGAAAATTTTGTAAGATATGTAGACCAAATAATTCAAAATGTTATAGCGTTTCTAAATATTTGAAAAACTTAAACCTGGATCAAAGTTATCGGAAAATCGCTCCGCGTTGTCGAATCGCGTCCGGTTTGTCTCCGCTTCAATGTTATTTTTAAATAGGTAATATGATGGTTTCGAGTGCAATTTGGATAAAACACGCACGAGTAAGTTTTTCAGAGAGCATCAAATAACACGAGTCCCAAGGACGAGTGACATTTGAGGTCTGGAAAACTCACAAGTGCTTGTCTTATTCAAATTTCACGAGAAACCTCCTATTACGTACTATTTATTAACACACGTGTAGGAGTGTTCTATCAGATTTAAAATGCGAGTGCGCAGCACGAGGATTTTAGATATGATAAAACACGACGTACTGCAGGTTTTTTGAATAGCTTGAAACACAACTACAATAGATGCCGTCTCATTAGTATTCTTTATATAAAGAATACTAATTAGTATAAAGAATACTGATAAAGATGAGTTTTATCAGGTATAAAGCCCCTTCACGTGACATATTATGGTTGACATATGATTTGCCAATAAGCTTATGAGCTATTAATGATGTTTGAAGTATATTTATTAATACTTCAAAGTTCAAATCTTCGTTAACAATTCCTAAGGTTATTGGCAAACCATGTGAACCGTAATATGTATGAGGCTTTATACCTGATAAAACTCACCTTCATTAGTATTCTTTATGTAAAAGTCCATCCTAATTAATATTTTTTTATATAATCAAAAGCCGACGGGGATGGGGGGGGGGTCAACGATTTTCTGCGAAAAATGTCCCTAAAATATTTTCCAAACCCTATTTTCAGACAATGGGTGCGGGGGGGGGGTTAAAAATAGTTTTTCAGACCTTTTTCAGAATATTTCTTTATATATACTTATCACCTTCCGCAATTGCAGTATTCCGGGGCCCCTCTGGGAACGTTTGGCCCCCTTTCTTGATCCCAGTAGTTCCGGCCCTGCTGTTAATTTTAGACTAACAATTTTTAATTGGGAATTTTTAAGTAGAGTTTTTTTAATGTTTATTTACTTGATAACCGTGTACATACCTTGACCTTCGTCTGGAATATAAAATCTCTTTAGCACATGTTGAACGTAAGAAGCTGAAACTGCCGCACCAAATTGGCACCAATTTGAATTTTGACATTCATCATTTGCCCACTTTGCAATAGTGCAATAGCGGCTTTTTGATTGAACACTTTGAATTTCAGGTATAATATCCCACTTTTTGATTTGAAAATAATTAATTTTGTATTTGATGCATTAACTGATCCTCTTATAATTAGGTACCAGAAATAAGAGATTAAAAGACATTGTTAAAGATGTATACAATCAGATGAAGCATCTACAATTCAAAGCTGTGTTTAACGAGACATACACAAAGCCTTCCTCGAGTCTAGGGACATTAAACACTAACATCCCTAAATAACATGCGATTATTTATAATATTGCCTGAAAAAACTTAGTTAGGACTTTAGACATAAAGGCCGGAGCAACATAATTGCCGTGGTTCTCGGTTTTCTTGGGATCAATGGGTGGACGACCAAAAACCTGAAAATGCGCAAAAAATTGGTATTTTTTTGTTACAAGCTGCCAAAGATTAGTGAAAAAGACTATATGTGTTGACAACTCTGATTTTGGCTTTACAGTGGAAAATTTGAGAATTTGACAATTTTGCCTATTAAAGTACTTGTTGACAAAAAATGCAATATTTCAAGATCGTTGTTAACAAAAATAAACTATATAACCGTTAGAATGCTTGCAAAAAAGTATATATAAGATATTTAAGCGAATAGTATGATTTTCGTAGCCGATTTTCACGCTCAAACATTAAGAAAATGCGCAAATTTATGCTAATAGCTACTATTTTGCTAACTTCAAAATTTTTTTCGAACATCTGAATTTACTAGGCAAAATCTCATATTTTTGGCTATCAAGCCAAAACTAGAGGTACCAACATATGTATATAGCTATTCTTGTTTGCCAATGTTTAGGCTATAAGAGAATACCAGTTGGCATGCAGCTTCTATACAATAAAAAATACCACCAGAGTGCGACTTTCAGAGAGTTGGCCGTTCGTCTAATATACATCCTTATGAAGAAAAAAGAACACGACTCAACTATGAAATAATTTCTTTCGTAAACTCGTATATAATTATAACTATGTCAAAAAAATTTTATTTTCTAGTATTATTACAAAACGCTTCTTGCAAGACAGGGTAAAACATGACTGATTGGCACTGGCTGAAATAAGTGGGGCAATAACAACCACAAAACAGTGCATGATGAAAGTTCAAATTATAGCGTGCATGTTCTCTACCAGAAATTCGGATGTTAATTAATTGGTTGTTATTAATCACTTTGTTGCTTAATCGGCGTGTTCTTTTATAAATGTTTTGCCACGAAGCACCAGTTTGTGTTACTACTGTATCTCTAGTGAAGATCCATTCGACTTCGAATAAATTCCATTTGGCGATAACTGTTGCTTGTAGCTTCGCACTCCTGTCCAAAAAGCTTCAACCTGATATCAAGTGCCTGTTGACATGACTCCAGAGCAGAATCATAATCTTGCATTATGCGCTGACATTCTGCAATATCGTAGTAGCTGTCAGCGGAGGCTGGATGTTCCTTTCCATAGAGCGCCACGCTAAAATCCAGGGTTTGCTGGTACCAATGCAAAGCTGAATCGTACTCTTTCAAGAGAAACTCTGTTACCCCAATCATGATATAACAAGGGCGCAAAACGTCTCGCGTTGTGTGGATTTTCCCATGAAGATTTTGTCTGATACCAAGTGCTTTCTTGTACGATTTCAGTGCTGACTCGCAGTCATTTTTGAAAAATTGGGTTTGTCCAATATTATAATAACTGTTCGCGGTATCTGCATGATTGTGCCCGTAAAGCTTCAGTCTGATGTCCAGTGCTTCATAATGAGATCTCAAAGAAGCGTCATAATTATTCTGTCTGCATAGAGTTTTTCCGATGTAATAGTACCTTGTGGCTGTATCAGGGTTTAGCCGACCGTTTTCTTCTATAAAATTATCAAGAGCGAGCTGCAACGTGGCTGGACTCTCTTGCACTATTTTTACTCTTAGCACGGCGTTTTCAATGAGTAAGAGTAGTGGGCGGTATAGGAGGTCGTTCTTTGCCTCGGCTTCGACTTCTTTCTGTAACTGCGAGATTTGCAAACCAAGTTTATACATTACCTCATTCATGTCATAGATTTCCGCAATAAAGTTGATGAGAAGACCAAGCTCCAAGATAAGTGGTTCACTTTTAGCTTTTACGTTTTCATTCTCTTTCTCTTTCTCTTTCTCGTCAGCGCAATCATCTTTTTGTATAGCTTTGAAGAAAGCGTACAAGGATGGTCTGTTAGTGCATCCAGTTAAAACAATGTTCCGGTAATAGGAAGATATTTCTGTATGAGGAGTAATCAATGCAAGAATCTGGGAGCATAAAACCTTAAGTACAGTATTTTCAGAACTCAACAGAGATATCCCTGTTTCAATAACTTCGCCCCCTTTTGCTGTCGCTCTATGTACTAGCAAGTGAATACCATAGTAACACATTCGTTTTCCAATGGCAATTGTTGAAATAAGGAAGGGATTTTGCTTCTCTATTTCTTCGGCCTTATTTAGTAATGACAATGTATCTCCATTACGCCCGAGTATTTCAGCAACAGCTTTGGCAATTAGCAGTTGGTAGACAGCTTTAAAATTTCGCTGCTCTTCTGCCTTGGCTATTGCTGAATTATAAATTTTGAAAAACATCCATTCATGCTCAAAGTAGCAAACGGTGTCCAAAAACAGATCCGCGTTGGAAAGAACATCGAAAATTGCACCACAGACAGCCTCGTTTTGAACACCTTCGCAGAGACTATGCACTATGTTTTCTTTGTTTAATTCGAAATCGTGAAATGAGAGAGAATTTCCAGCAAGAAACAGGTTATTTAAATCTTTAAACAACTGGACGTAGTAACTCAGGAATCGCCTTTCTGCATCGCAAGCAGTTTCTTTCATATCAGCAGCTGCTTTTTCGGAACCAAATGACCTGACCAGAGGGTGAAAAGAAAACAGCCCTGCTTCGGAGGAATTCACTTCAACCAAATATTTTTTCTTCAGCCCCAACAAAGTTTTCTTTGCTGTGTCTTCATCTCCTCCAATGACGTTTATTGCAGCTTGCTCGTCGAACACTTCACTGACAAAAACTGAGAGACAAACAAATGCTTCTTGCTCTTCTCGAGATAGTCTTTTGAAATAAGACTCGAACAAGACCTTTAAACTTTGATCACTAGGCGCATATGGATCATCTAGCAACTCGATTACCGGTTTTGAAGAACTGATAAAGTGGTCAAGAAATTGAGATGCATTCTTCTTTTCGTCCACGATTTGACCGCACAAAAGCTTGATGGCAAGCGGAACGTCTCCACAAACCTCAGCCACTCTGCAGCATTCACTTTCATCAGCAGCAGGGACAAGTTCTTGAACAAGCATTTGAGCCGATTTCCTGTCTAGCGATACAACACTGACAGACGTGTGACCAGCAAATTTTCTTCCGAGCACCGATTGCAGACTCATCCTTGTGGTCTGCAGAAAGGACACATTCTTGCAATGAGAAAAGATCTTTTCCAGAAGTTCTAAAACATCTTGGCTCGTTTCACCACCACCCTCAAAAAGGACATCAGCGTTATCGAGGATGATGCAAATATTAGAAGGAATTGCACTGAGGAGTCCGTATAGTTTTGAACGCTCTCGCCCCGTTATATCAGACGCATTTGCAAAGGTGTTTAAGAGGTCAGATATCAGCTCTTCCGCTGTTTTGACGCTTCTCAAGGAAATGAAATAAACTGGTAGTCCAAGCTGTCTAAGTCGGTGTCCTACTGCAATTGCCAATGAGGTTTTGCCAAAACCAGGAGGTCCAGATACAGAGACTAACCGACCAGATGTGGACGTCAACGCACACGAGATTTCTTCAACTTTTTGTTGTCGACCAATGAAATGGGGCACCATGGGAGGAAGGCAGGGCTTAGGCACGGACTTGTCAAACACTGTGGTAAAATATAGAAAATACGGTTAAACTGTAGCTGTTACCTGCAAGACTAAGGGCGAAAAGCAAAAAGCTGTGAAGAACTAGCTTGTTTTAGCAGTTACAGAAAACGTACTCGTACCCATTGGGGGAGAGAGCCTTGCGTCACGAGGTACATCACCCACTATAGCGTATATATACACGAACTTGTGGTTTGAGCTCCACAACTGGACTCTTTAGCTCAGTTGGTTAGAGCGCTTCACCGAAATCGCAGGTTCGATTCCTGACAGAGGGCAAATAGTTGCATTTTTCGCAGCTGCTCCTGGTTAGGTCTGAAATTGTAGATGATTTTCTCCTCAACTTTTCCATCCACAAAACACTCTGGAACAACTGTTAGTCCTATCGGCTGGCGAATGATATTTAACGCTGCATTACGTAATGATAGAACTGGGAAAAAAATCACAACGTTATGTGGCACACGTGATGTTTTTTGATTGGACAATTGGTTCAGATAAACATTATACTCCGCCACTAATCTACACAAGTACAGTAATAATCTTACGTGTGCGATTACTTATGACAGTCGCACGTGTGACGATTATGGCTGAATCGGCAGACCAAAAAACTCAACATGTTATAGCCCTTCTAAAGATATGAAAAACTTAAACCAGGATCAAAGTTATCGGAAGATCGCGCCGTGGCGAATTTTTTTTTCGTAGACAGTCGGATTCCTCATTGATAGTCGGACGCATCATTGATCCGCGTCCAGGCCTCCACGCGTTATCGATGGATCCCTTCATACCCTGCGTAACTCACTGGAACACCATATATCCATCACTCCACGTTGTTCTTCTTCGCCCACGTTCAGAAAGATCTGATGAACGTTTGCTTCGCGATGCCATATACTATAGTAAACCTACAAACTTGTTTTTCCAAAAATACTCAAGAACTGTTATTGCGAGTTAAAATTATATATCAACCCAATTGAAGAGAATCAGGTTAAGATAACTATAGCGTGCAAGTAAATACTGGAAGATTCAAAGCGACCATCAAGACCACTTTCCACAAATAGAAGTATTGCAGAGTACCCATCCACTAGTAATATCATATGTAGTCGACCTTATTGCCTCGTTCTAATATACACAAACTAATTACTAAGACAATGTTACGAATTGATATGATAAAGGAAATATCATGCAAGACTTTTGATGTTCAATATTATGCTTAGCATACTTTATAATATAAATTTTTTTCTCCCAGCGACGCTAATTAATCATAATCTGTCAAACACCAATGTCCGGTTGTGAGGAACATATTTACATATTACACCACATTTAAGCTCTCTATATATAGCATGAGAATTTAATCTATTAATGCTAACTAACTGTTGCCTTAATCTCAAAAATAACTACTTGACTGCGCATACAAGTATACATGTATCCGCGTATATAGAGCTACCTATAGCATGAATATTTGATCTAATGACAATCTAACTGTATGCCTCGACAGCCTCGTTCTCAGAATAAATACTTGACTGCGTATCCGCGTATCCAGTAGAATATAGAGCTACCTTTAAAACTATGACAATTTAATCTATTAATTAATGTCCTGTAAGTCACTGTATGCCACGTAGCTACCTTTACCAACATGGGATTTTAATCTATCAATCTATTTATTATTAATCTATTGAGAATAAATATAGATGTATTAATACATCGGATCCATGCATGATGTTTGAAAGACATAGCTTAAGAGTGGACGGGTATTCTGCAATCGCTTCGGATCCGAAAAAACAAAGAAACTCACAAAGAGTTACAACAGCAAAGAAAAGAGTTACAAAAAACAGTTACAAAAGCAAAGAAAAGCAAGTGGGAATGGCGAATATAACTTAATAAAATATGTCAGATGTCATCACCACACAAGATATGAAACCACAATGTGTCCTGCACTCCTGCTCAGATTTTGACATCCCAACCAAGCATTCACAATATTTTGAAATCACCAAATAAGAAAAGTATCCGATGAATGTTTTGTTTAAGGGCGCGGGTCAATGATGCGTCCGACTATCAATGAGGATTCCGACTGTCTACGGAAAAATTGCCGCGCCGTGTTGTCGAATCGCGTCCGGTTTGTCTCGACGTTTATAGTTTAAATTATTGTTATTTTTCAATAAGTAATATGATGGTTTCGAGTGCAATTTGGATAAAACACGCACGAGTAAGTTTTTCAAAGAGCATCGAAATAGCACGAGTCCGAATGACGAGTGACATTTAAGGTCTGAAAACTCACGAGTGCTTGTCTTATCCAAATGTCACGAGAAACCTAGTATTACGTATTAATAAATATACTTATAAAATCATTTCAAAGGAAATGAATGTTTAATCAATGTTTGTAAATCGCATAAAGATTTGTCCTGATTTACATAAACTTCAGCTTTGATTTCTCGGCTTAGACAATGTTTATTTTTAAAATTACTTCGCCAATGAATTCATAAGATGGATAGTTTTATAAGCATGATAAAACATTCGTATCAGATCTTTATCTGATATACAAACTCTCGCCTTCGGCTCGAGTTTTTATATCAGATAAAGATCGGCTG